ATGTATATGTATATGTATATGTATATGTATGAATATATATATGTATATGTGTGAGTATCTGTGTGTATCTATATATATATATATATATACATGCATATCCATGATATTCTGTATCCGTATATCCATAAATTCTTTGCATACATATAGGACTATACAATAGTGTGTGCATATTGACCATACCTTCTCGTGGCCTTCTCATTGGTATCATCCGATTCGCCATCACTTGCATCCAGGTCATCCCATGTCTTGCGTCGTTTCTCCCCATCGGGAACGTCGTCCGCGAAGCTATGGGCATTCGACAGCACGTCTAGTGTATCTGTGTGGGTCTCAATGACCTCAGACCCATCGCTGTCCTGTGACAGCTTAGGTGCCGCACTCCTTGTCCTTGGCAGCGCATGGTCTGTATTCAGTGTATTAGCCTCTCCTTCCGAGACTCCGTTGGGTACACTGAGTGCTGTGTTCCTGTCGGTATCTTTGTACGTAACACTATCATGATCAACATCGTGTTGTATCAGACCAGCCGCCTTCTTGAGTGTGGCTATAGTACTAGTGCCAAAACCCTCTACCTTATCTTTCCATTTCCCTTTCCCTTTCCCATCGCCTTTACCACTCCGATCATTTACCGTAGGCTTGCTCTCGGTGGTAGACATCGACGCATTATCAGCCACCGTATTCACGTCCTTCTCATCTACCAGAAGCAATTGATCGTCTTGTATGGGCTGACTACTGCGCCCAGGCAGAGCACTATTGACCAGGCTGATACCGCCCACGGTGTTGTCAGTGCTTCCGGGAGAGTCACTGTCGTTGATAAGCCTGTTTGTGTCTGTGTTTGTATTTGGGGTGGATGGTAGGGTGTGTCCGACACCAGTTGGACTCGGGTCCGTCATTGTGCTGTACGCCTAGTGCTCATCTAATATAACTTTGTAACTGTGTGTGGATTGATTATTCCGACTGCGATATATCAGCCGTTGACCCTGTGTCCCTTACAGGAAATTCGTTTCGAGCCAAAATAAACGTGTGTAGGAATCAGTCTCGTTAGTTTGTACTTTTATCTGTGGGTATTTGCACATATATACTTAAATGTATATGGTTATACGTATGTGGACGAATTAGCGGGATGTACTCCACCGCCGTATTCAACCCGATGTGAGGGCTGGCTATTATCGCTTGAAATACATTCTTCACAACTTCCGTATGCAAAATGCTAAGCCGTATTCGCTCGCCATTCCAGTACAACCGACAAACTCAGCCTTCGTTGCAGAGGTAACAGCTGATGCATATCTCGCTTTGTATTTTATATATTGTATTTGTTGTTTGTTGTAGTCTCAAAGTCAAACAGTAAAGCAGAAAGCGTGTGCGGTGTGATCAGTGATCAATTCAGACATCACAAGTGATTTGAATCAGGTGATCATGGGCATTCACTCTATTTGGAATAAATCTATGGCAAAAAAAATAAAGTACTCCATATCTGATCATCAACTCTCCCATCGATTTCGAATGACTGAATTTAAATATCCACCGATCCCATTGGTCAGATCTCAGCCAATATTGAACTAAAGTCTTGTAAGTTATTACTTCTCTTGTGGGTGGTCATTGGTCGGTCACTGGTCACTGTGGCGAGTATATGTGTAGTCTTAAATATATTACTTCTGTCTTCTATACAATTCTCTCGATAGTCTGTACACTGTAGTATTTCTCTACACTAGTAGAGCAATAGAGTAGAGACTTATATGCGTCTCTGGCTATTGTGCTTGGAGAACATACTATAATACAACCGAATTAGAAGAAACCGTTGACAGACAATAACAAGGAGGATTAGTAAGTATAATGACGCTGCAAGTAGGTGCGGTTGCACCTAGCTTCACACTGCCGTCTATACGGACGAATGCAGATCCGATCACACATGACCTGATTCAATTGCATAACAAAGGCCCTGTCGTGTGTTGTTTTCTGCGACACTCCACGTGATTGCCGTGAAAGCATCATGTCCAAGAGCTCTATAAACACAGAGAGGAACTAGAGCGTAAGTTGCATTTGGAGAGATGTATGTAAAAAAAAATAGATGTTGTTGAATGATCTTCTCTAAGAGCTCTGTATTCGCATAGAGGGCAATTGAGCATAATCTGCTTGTGGCGGGTTTACCTTCATATTCGTGTGTAAATGAGGTTGGGTAACAGATGTTTTGTGTAATTGTAGTACTATGTTCTTAATGTATACTTTGTCGCTTCGTTTAGCTGTATGTATGTTGTTTTATTATACTGACTTGTGAGAATTTATAATGAAACATGAATAACCCACATGCTCTGTATTCACGAGCGAGTTATGCCTTTAGAAATCTTCAGGGTTCGACTAAATTGATATATAATTAAATATAGATATGG